GCCAGAAACTCTCCACAAATCCCTAGAATGTCCCATAGAGGGCAGTAGCTCTTTCTTTTCAACCCATTGTCATAGACCCACCTTAGTTATAAAGAATAAATGGTTGTTCAATTACTGCTAGCCCTTGATTGCCTTCCTACCAGGAACCAACTTTACACATTCCTGGTAGAAAGTATGATGTGATTGCATTCCAAGGTTAAGCACTGGAAACATTAACAAGCGTACTGAGCTATTTATATAGAGCATTGCATTTTACTAAGCACTTCAGAGATGCTTTCTCCTTCAATTGCCACAAGAACTCTGTAAGTCGACCCCTATTCTCCCCACTTACAGGCAAAGAAGCTGAGTCACAGAGAAAAAGACTATCACATCTTGTAGATCAGGCACCATAGATTTTCCCAGAACTGTCTCAGCAAGCCCTTTGACAGCAGCATGACAGAAAACAACTCATGATGGACATCACTGACCAGTACCTTACTATAACACATCAGGAATCTGAAGCTTGAAGAAAATGATAGACTGTGTGATGAGGGAGGAATCACTTGCCCCCCTCTCTGCTGGCAGACATCCATTTGTGCTAGAGAATGGCTGAAGGACAAAGTCCTATGTCTGTTAATCATTTAAAGCCATAGAAATAAGCCTGGGCATAGAAGAAAAGAGCAGGAAAATCAGCATGTTCTAAATGCCCCCCACCTCAAATTCTGGGATAACAAGGATTTCTGGATATTTTCTCCCCCAAACCAGACTCTCTCTGCCTCATCCATTCATATTCTTTGACCAAATGGATCCTGGCCCCAAACAATCCAGGTGTCTGTGGAGCACATACCTTCAGGTGTTCCTGGCTAGCACAAGGAAGTGCAAGGGGATTCTAAAGGGCAGGCCTGGATTGTAATGCACCTAAGTAACTGAATTAGGGTGAAAGAGCCAGCTTGGGACTAGGAGGAAGCCCTCTCCCTGAATTTGACCTTCAAGTTTGGGGTAACTGGACTTACCCCCAGGGCATGTGGTTTTCTTAGTTGGGAGAAAAGATTGCATTTTTAGATTGCAAATTTAGATTCCAAACTTACCATTTCATTGATAAGCATGATATCTCTCATCAAGGAGCACTTCATCTCTGAGAATGGCTGGCCTATGACAAAGAACTATTTACTCAAGTTACCACTAGGAAAGGGAAGGGAATGGAAGGCAAAAGTAGAGATGGGAAGTGAAAGGGAAAGGAAGCAGAGAAGGAGGAAAGGAAAGAAGGAAGGAAGGAAGGAGGAGGTGGGAAAGGAGGAGAAAAAGAATATTGTTCACAACAGCTTCATTGAATCTACCTATTATGTGTCAGGCATCCTATTTTCCTTAATATATATGATCTGCTTTTTATCATAAGAGCTTATAATAACCACTACTACTATTATCCTCATTTTCAGATGAGTAAATCTTAGATAAGGGAAATTAAATAACATGCTCAACATTAGAGAGCTTAAAAAGAGAAAAAGAAAAGGCTGGGTATCAGACAGTGCACATTGGAAAGCAGAGGCAAGAGACTGAGCTACACATCTCAAGAGAGAGAACTGAATTTTGAGCCTAAGAGCATTCATTTCCATAGCTGTCCTGAAGCCCTTACCTAATCCTTCTTCCAGCCCAGTAATGCAGATTCTTATCACAGCCCAGGGCAGAGGAAGGGCAGAACCTCAGTAAAGCTGATGATGTTGCTGTCCACAGAGGTAGAGAGGAAGCTGCTGTCTCCTTATCCATTTGCTCAGACAGTGTTGAACTGAAGAGCAAAAGCCCGAGTAAAAGAGAAGGATGCAAAGGGATGGTGAGATACCAGCATGACCCTGGGATGTCACTTTTTTTTAGCTTCAATCTTTTAATATGGAGGTGACAATGATAACTGTGTCTAGTCTTAGGTTGTTGTAAAGATCAAACACGGTGATGCCTATGAAGGTGAGCATGTAGGAGCTGGCCCTACACAGAGCTCCTCAGCCTCTGCCTAAGAGGTTTAGATTTCATGCAGATGTTTGACATCTGGATGAAATGATTAATGATAGTGCTTCTGAGCCTGAATGGTTATCAGAATTACCTTTCTGAATGTACAAATACTCAGGCTCCATCCCAGGAGAGTTTTATTTAGGAGGACTGGGGTGGAGGGTGGAGGTAGAGTCTGGAGCTTTTCATTTTGAATCAATTTCCCAAGTAATACTGATGCATAGCCAGGTTTGGGGGAAGCAAACCACAGATGTTTCAGACATAGTAGTTGGAAAGGAACTCTGACTGGTTCCTCTCCGAGAAGGAGACACCCTTTTCTCCCAGGTCCTCTATACAGGTTTGCAGTGCAGTAAACAGCATTGAGAGGCCCTAGAACCTAGCATGGGTTGGGAAACTGGATGCCAGGAGTCAGATCTGGATTTTGTCCTTTTTTTTTTTTTTTTTGACTCACCTAGTGATAGTTACGGAAATTGTTCAATTGACCTCTGCTTCCTAAGGATTATGTCCTAAGTGTCCCTCACACTTGATAGCCACAGTGGGTGAAGAGTCCTGGGGCAGGAAGGGAGGACATGGAAGAATCTCCCATCAGTCTGCTTTCCCACTGACATCTCATTAGATTCTCACAAAGATGAAGAATAAAATCTAGTATCTACCATTTAACCTTGTTCTCTGTCCTAGCCTTTGTTCCAGTGTCATCTTGTCCCCTTCCACTGACTCTTCTGGCTGCTTTGCTGTTCTCCAAAGTTGTTTCTGCCTCAGGGTCTTTGCACTATTGTAGGACTGGATGATTTTGCAGTGGGTGATCACAAGTCTAGTTCCTTTCCATTCTGCACTCAGCTTTCTTGTCACCTGATCAGAGAAAGCTTTGCTAATCCATCATCAGATCTAAAGTGTTATCTCAGACGTACATCACCTTCTAGCACCTCATTTTAACTTATCACTATAGGACATATTTTCCTGGTCATCTCCTAGTGTAGATTGTAAGCCCCAAGAAAACAGGTCCTGGACTCTTTTGTTTACTGTGGCATCATCCCTAGCAGCTGAAAAGTGTTTAGTGGATATCTGTGGAATAAATGAGTTCATGAAGTTACCCCAGCATGAATTTTGATTTTGTCATTTGCTCTGTTTTGCTTTTGGTTAAAAGTCTCTAAGTTCTGAGAAGGGAAATGACTATCCCAATCAAATTCAGGTCTCTCACATTTTTTCCAGGACCTTCCTGTAAAGCCTGACTGACACACAGACCTGGTTGGGGTGAGGCGTTCAGGTGTGATGAAAGCTTGGAGTTGCCCCATGATGTAGGGTGAGGAGGCTGAAGGAAGAGCATGGGAAGAAAGAGGCAGGCTGAAACAGGAGAGCGAGCAGGGTGTGGAACAGCAGGTGGGGGGAAGGAGGGAGGGTGATTTGGCTATGTGTCAGGAAGTGTTTCCCTCCACCCTCCCCTGGAGAGAACCCTGACCCCCTGGTGGCTTTGATTTTGGGACATTGCTAAGGGAGGAAGAAGGTGTGGCTTGGGTGGTGACCATCCACTGAGGTCCCCAGCCCGTCCGATACTAACTACAGGAAGAGTAATCCCACAGTGGCTCTTGGCCAAATAGGTAACAGGTAAGCTTCCGACTAAAACCAGCCTACCTACAACATGGAACCTCAGACCTGGCTTAGGGGCAGTCAAAATGTCCGGGGAAAGGACAGAAAAGATATTCTAAGGGAATACAATATTCATGGTTGAATGCTGGCTAATAACAAATGTATCACACTGATTGAGAGCAATCCTCAAAAAGCCTTCTACAAAGTAAGCATTATTATTACTGCTGTTATTTCTATTTGCAAGAGTTGGGGACTGAAACACAAATATATTAAGTATTTTCTTCAAGATCATCTAGTAAGTAGCAGAAACAAGATTCAAACCCAAGTCTATAGTAAGTGCACTGCACTCTAGAAACCTATGCCTAGGGAGAGTTGCTTGGGCAGGCTAAGACAGCAAAGCCAGACTGACCCCTGCAATGGCTGGGGCGGGGAGAGAGAGTGGAATAGACAGTGTATAAATAGCAGACCTGTTTTTATCCCTACACACGGCTGAATCAGGCAAGTACTCTATCTGGCACAATTTGAGGGCTCTGAATGCCAACCCAGCCTTGTATCAAACAACTCCGTGGCAGCACGTCCCTGGGAGCTGAAATACCCACTGAGAGAGTCATTTCTTAGGGTCAGGACACTGCCTTCAGAAGATCCCTGTAAAAATGGAAGGGTTGGAAGGGAAGCACATCAATCTCCTGGCACCTGTTGACCAGAGCCTCTCTGATCTCAGAAGTTTAAGGATTATAATCCATCATAAAAATTCTACCGTGGGCTCTTGTCACTAGACGAAAGCGGGGAGAAGCTACTCTAAGTTTCTTCTGCTGGGGCTAGATTGGCACCAGGTGTGTGCAACTTCAACTCTGCTCACCTCGGGCTCCTAAGAACCGTTTTATATTCTTGTGTTTCGATTTTAAATGATTAATGAGCTAGCTAGTCTGCATTGATAGGCAAAAGAAAGAAAGAAGGAAAAAGAAAAAAAAGAAATGAAAAAAATAAAGCGAGCTTCTGAAACTCTGGTGACACTCACGGGTGGAAAACCCCACTGGTACGGAGCTGGGATGGTCTAAAGAATCAGGCCCGAAACCCAGCTCTCTGATCAGCAGTTACAACGCTGCAGCTCTCCAGGCGTTTGGGGGAAAGGTAGGACCGGTCCCTGCCACCTGCCGATCGGTGGCCCTACCCACTGCCAGGCCTCCACTGCCCTGGCTTGCTCCCCAAAAATGTGAGCGCGGCCTGCTCCACACGCCGCTTTCCCATCGCGCTCGCCCGCCCGCGGGTCCGGGGCTACGTTGGTTGGCGGCGCCATGGGCCGGGCTCGCTTCCCGGCCCGAGAGGGGGGCGGGGAGGGGAGAGAAGGGGGCGGCGCCCGGCGGGGCGGAGCTCCGGCGCCTCGCGGAGCCTTATTCCCCACGGCGCGACGAAGGAGTGCTCAGTCCGCCCGAGGAGCTGCACGCGGCACGCGGCTGATCGGCCTGACGGAGGTGTTAGGGCTCGGGCGCGGACCCCCGGGGAACAGACCGACGCGCGGCGGCTGTGAGCTGAGCAAAGGTCCCAGCCAGGCTTGCACCCACAGAGGCAGGCGGCTCACAGTGCCCGGCGGAATCCTCTGCGCCCCCCTCCCCGCCTGCCTCCCGTGCGGGCTCTCAGTGCCCGCCGCTTCCAAACTGATTGCTGCCTTGCTGACTCTGCCCGGGTCTGGGAACATGAAGCTGCTGCCGTCGGTAGTGCCAAAGCTCTTTCTGGCTGCAAGTAAGATAGCTGCTGACGCCCCCGAGGTCGGGGGCGGGGGGGGGGGGAATGGGGGCGCTGCGCGGAGGGGGGGGGAGCACAAGGAAAGATCGCTGCAGCGTCCCCGACGCGTGCCACTGCGTGCCACTTGGTGGGGCCCGTGCGCTCCGGCGGGAGGGCGTAGACAGCCATGCACGGAGGCGCGGGGTCTAGGTGGGGGTCTTATGCGGCCTTGCCCTTGGTTCTCAGTGTTCTCCGCGTTGGTGACTGGCGAGAGCCTGGAGCGGCTTCGGAGAGGGATGGCAGCTGGAACCAGCAATCCGGACCCTCCCACTGGCTCCACGGACCAGTTGCTACCCACGGGAGGTGCCCGAACCAGGGAGGTCGTGGACTTGGAAGAGTCAGCCCTTTTCAGAGGTGGGTGAGGGGGCTGCCCACTACTGGACTCTGGTGAACAGTTGAAGAATAATCAGATCTAAGATGCATCCTTTTGGGCGCTCCTGTGGATTATTTATGCAGGACTAGAAGCAAAAGCTGATGGCATTGCAGAAAGCTGGGCATCTTGAAATGCAGGTCCCAGGTTCTACTGTCTTTTTTTTTTTTTTTTTTTTGGTCTTTGGGTTCCACTTGGTGAGTTATCACCTTCTGGATACTTTGGAGCAAACTGAAGCAGGCAAGTTGTCCTCTGAAGTAAGCTAAGCTAGGTAGTAGGAATATAGTTGAGATGCTTTTCTTAGAGTTCCTATGTGAAAATGGATACAAGTCCTGCTTTCCAAATCCAGTGATATGGAAAATATCTAAAGTGGAGATAACAGATGTGCCACTTATAAGCACAAAATCGGTTTGCAGTGATCCTCTCCACCCACTTATCTTCAGATTGGGGAAATGGAAGGGAATGAGGAACTGGTGGCCTACCTAGGTGAGACCAGCTCCTTTGGGGAGGCTTTAAAAGGTGAGCCTTGGGGCCTTAAGGGGCTGTTTTGAATATTCCTGACACCCGAAGACTTCTCAACCAATTGAATCCCCAAGGAGACTCCAAGGGGAAAGAACCACGTGGGTTCCTCCCACCTGCCTGTGTGGCTAAGGTTGAGAACAGATATTGATTGGGCATAGTCCAGATCCTGCTGGTTTCCCTGCCTCTGGCTACCTGAAGTGATTCTCAGGGGTGGAGCAGAGTCTAAGCCCTGTGACCCGGAATAACTATATTTGGTAGGGAAGATACTCACCTGTTCTAGCCCCGCCTGTCACTCAGCTGCCTTTCTCCCCCTTACCTGAGAGCTTCACTTGGTTGCTCTAAGTGTTTGCTCCAAAGCTGAACCTGTATTCCCAGACTTCATCCTCTTATAGTGGCCCTTGGGGTCACCCATAGCCTAAACAGCCTAGATTCTCCTGGCTCTCTCTTCCTAAGCTGGGCAGGGCTGGGCTAGGCTGTGACTCACTCTCCTTCCCCCACCCCCCCAGTCCCCCACCCACATGGCTGCTCCTCATACCTCTGCAGACCTGACTCACTCTGGGTAGAAGCCTAGCTGTCACTCTGCCATTCTCTCACTCTTTATGATTATTTGGACTTCCTGCCTGGGTCTCTGTGTTCCTCACTTGGCCACCTGCCTCACCTGGGATGGATTACATTTTTAATCCTTCATGGCTGTGGGCAAGTCAGTGCCCTTCAGGATTCTAAGTTCTTGAAAATGTAAGGCCATAATCTTTGGGGGAGCCACTTCTAGCTTGAGAACTTTTCAGTCTCCAGTCTAATGTTTCATTCTCGCCTTTCTGCCAAACATAGGCTATAGCCATAGACACTGGACGCTTTTCTATTATTGGGTGCAGGTGTGGGAAAGAAGCTGGTGTCAGACCCTGGAACTAGTGAGCGTAGCCTTTGTCAGTCCCAGCTGAGTGTCTGGGTAAGATTGTTTTCCCCCCAGCCTCTGAATTCTGGGAAGAAGTGGGGAGTCACTTTTAACCTCCTTATCCCTTATACACATGTATTTCCCCCCAAAAGATCAGAGAACTATAAACATAATATTTGAGGATAGATGTAAATGGAGAGAAGGGTAAATATTTTGCTTGAAATGGGAAAAAGACAGCCTTTACCAGGGAGGGATAAGCTGCTTGCTATTTCTGAGCTGGGCCTTGATACTAATGGGAATCCCAGAGGGGGGTCACCTGAACACACAGACGCTCTTCTTATTTTAGAAGCCTCCTACCCCAAAACATCCAACTATCTTCTCCAAAAGCAATTTTTGTCTGTGACACTATCTTCCTGCAAGTGGGTCACTGAGTGAAGTAACAGGAAATGAAGACTAAAATAGAATGAAGTAGATGCGGGGGGAGTTGGAGATGGAGGTGGGAGGTGGACAATGGTGTGGGAATGAGTTTGGTAGCCTTGCTTGCTACTATTGGCTGCTATTACTCAGGAGCGATAGCATTTCCTGAATGAGGTTCTTAAGTTGGGACCTATCCTAGCCTCTACCTCCTCCTGAAATGCCATTTTTCTAGTGGTTCTACACAGTGTCCCTCTAGCACGTGAGAGGTACCAAACCAGAGAGTCTTCCCAAACCTCTGATGCTAGGTAGGATCAAAGCATACACAGGTGTGGATGGGCCCATGACTGTAATCCCAGCACTCAGAAGGCGGAGGCCTAAGGAGCACAAGTTTAAGGCTAGCCTTAAAACAGACTTTTTCTCAAAAAAGTGTCATAGAATCAAAGTCTTACCAGCGTACCTTCCTCCTGCAGTTGCTTTATCCTCCAAGCCACAAGCTCTAGCCACGCCAAGCAAAGAAGAGACGGGGAAAAGGAAGAAGAAGGGCAAAGGATTAGGGAAGAAGAGAGACCCATGTCTTCGGAAGTATAAGGACTTCTGCATCCATGGAGAATGCAAATATCAGAAGGAGCTCCGGGCTCCATCATGCATGTAAGTGCCCCTTCCCCAGATGGAATCTCAGCACACTCTCCGCCATGTGGCTGTTTCTCCTTGTTACTGTTTCTTGAAGTCACAATTTCACCCACGCTTTTTTTTTTAACCTTCGGGTGGAAGTTCAGAAGAGGGAAAATATTTTTAGTCCACAGAAGCCCCTTCCCCCCACTACCAAAGAGAATGCAGTTTCCTGTGGTATGGGTTTGTGACACTCTTCAATCCTCAGGGACATTTCCGGCTTGTCCAGAAATGAGCATGTGGCTAGGAGAGCTAACTCCTGGAGGCAGCTGGTCCTTCATTCCTGCCTTGTGCATTTTTCTGTGTGGGAGGTGGTAGAAAATATGGCAGAACAGGTTCCTGGGTACAGTGGAGCTTCTGTAAGCAGAAATGAGGTGCATTCGATCGCATGCTGTGCAGGTATTGTATACTAGGAGGATGTGTGCTTATGAATGAACAAATGTAGGTTAGTTCTAAGGCATGGTAGGGCTGTATAGAGAAGAATATATACAAGGAATGTACAGAGAGGAATCATTGTGGGGCAAAGGGAACCCCCCCTCCCCAGTACTGCTTGCTTCCTCACTGCACCATGGGCCAGGAGAGTATTGGCCTTTGGTCAGGGGGTACTAGAACACATTCTTTGTGTAAGATTAAAAGGAAATAGAACCCAACCCAGCAGGCAACATCAGTCCTTCCCTGGCAGGAGTGTGGGTGGAGGGGCTGTGGGTTGCTTAGCTTCTCCTAGCCAAACCCAGCATTCGGCTGCCTTGGCAACCCCTCAGGGATGACAGCACTGCCATGTTCTCTGGAGGCATAATGTCACCACTGTGCCTGAGGCCAACACCCCACGTCAGGCTGCAAACATCCGTCTTCTTTCCTGTGGGGACTCAGCAGACTCCGGGGACCTTGTGACCTGGAGATTCTGGGTGTGCTAACTCACTATTGTGTGCATTCTGTCTCCCATCTTATCAAGAAATCTCATAGTGTCTCTTTTACCTCTGACTGGTGCAGATCCTTGGCTTTTTTTTTCCTTTTTTTTTTTTTTTCTTTGTCAGTTGTGGGGCTTAAACTCAGGCCTGAGCACTGTTCTTTAGCTCTTTTGTTCAAGTGCTCTACCATTTTGAGCCACAATGCAGCTTCTAGTTATCTGGTGGTTAATTGGAGGTAAGAGTCTCATGGACTTTTGTGCCCAGATTGGCTTTGAGCCACGATCCTCAGCCTCCTGAGTAGCTGGGATTATAGGCATGAGCTATCAGTACCCAGTGATCCCTTGACTTATACAAACTTCTTTGTCCAGAGCCTGGTACCTGTGGCTCACGCTCAGAATCCTAGCTCCTCAAGAGCCTAAGATCTGCAGTATCACAGTTCAAAGCCAGTCCAGGGCAAAATAGTCCAAGAGACTCCATCTCCAATTAGTCATCCAAAAGCTGGGTTAGAGGTGTGGCTTAAGTGGTAGAGAGCCAGCTGTAAGCAAGTAAACTAAGGGAGGACTCTTAAGTTCAAGCCCCGGTACTGGCACAAAAGCAAAACAAGAAAACATCTTGACTTGTGAGTACATACTTAGCAGAGCTGCCCCATATTTGGCAATCAGCAGAGAAACCCATCTACAATCATTGTGTCCTTTCTTGCAACATCCTTGTTAGGAGCTTGGCATGGGAAGAGATTGTTTAAGAGTGGTGTAGAGCCATGCGCTGGTGGCTCGTTCCTAGCTACTCAGGAGGCTGAGATCTGAAGATCACGGTTCAAAGCCAGCTCGGGCAGGAATGTCCGTAAGACTCTTATCCCTAACCATCTGGAAACCAGAAGTGGCACTGAAGCTCAAGTGGTAGAGCACTCACCTTACCCTGAAGAGCTCAAGGACAGTGCCCAGGCCCAGAGTTCAAGTCCCAGGACCAACAACAACAAAAAAAAGTGGTGAAGAAAGTCTTCTTAGGGCTGGTTGAGTGTTTGCTTTGCATGCATGAGGCCTTGGGTTCAATTCTTCAGCACCACATAAGCAGAAAAGGCCAGAAGTGGTGCTATGGCTCAAGTGGTAGAGCGCTAGCCTTGAGCTGAAGAGTTGAGGGACAGTGCCCAGGCCCAGAGTTCAGGCCCCATGACTGACAGAAAAGAAAAGAAAAAGTCTTCGTAGTATCCTTCCCAATGTCTGGAACAGAAAGAAAATGTTTTGTCTTACGTTTGTAAAATGGCATCATTAGCTCAGGATGGAGAAAGTGACTCTTAAGGCAGTCAAGATGGACTGAGACCAGGAATCTTTCTGGGCTACATTGGCCCAGGGCATTTTGATGAGTGGATGTGGGACTAAGAACCCTTATAAGGCTACTGTCCTGAAGAGTTAAATCTCAACTGACCACCTGAACCCAGAGATCCTGATAAGTGTGCCCAAAGCCATCTTCTCAGTGGCCCTAGGATAATAGTGGTAGTCATAATGTTAACATCTCCCCCTCCATCCCAGAGCTTAGTGTTTACATTTAATATAAATGAAACCCAGTGGGTGTATTAAGTACCTACTTGTTGCCAGTTGGTCTTCTAAGAGATGGGGAGAAGATATGGTCCTTGTGGTTTCCAAAAGCCCTTTGCTGGGTAGACAAGATTTTCTATTTCTACTTGAAAAATGAGGAAACTACAGCCAACAAGTTGCATGAGATCAGCAGCTAAATAAGTAGATAGAAATAGAACCAGGGTCTCAGGTGCCTTACTCCAAGGTCAGCATGCTTTCCATGTCTCCAGGCCCCACTGTTGGCTTTCATCTTTCTTCCCAGTCCTGACCATGAGTTTGAGCAAGATTTTATAGAGGACAGCTGTTGTTCTAGAGCACTCTTAGGCTTAAAGCGTAGCGATCTGACTTGAAGATCCATGCCAGCTTGCTGGACAGATTTTCATGGGGTAGATTCTGTGTGTGGTCTGGCTGCTTCATATGTCCAGGTACTTAGGGGAAAAAAAAAAGAGCTTTTGGGTTGGGGCAGTATGACATCTGTGCATTTATCTCTGGGGAGTCTTTGTGGTTCCTCCTTGTTTCCAGATCCAGGAACCACCAGCCAGGGTGTGTCCAGGCTGCTGTGGTAAACTTGGGGCTATCGGGCTTCCTAAACCAACCCTCTGCAGCCACCATAAATAGGAAAAACCTTCTGTGTCATCAGCCAAGTTACCCTCAAACAGTTTCCTGGGGCTTTGTCCTGGCCACTGACCCAGAAATTGGCTGCGAAGTTTCCTGTGGCTGAAGGAAACCTGGGAGCATATGTGTTAGGGAGGACGTAAAGTTGGAAGAGAGACAGGCGTGGAGCCTGTATTTGGTCACACTGCCCAGATGCCCAGAGGATTGTGAGCCCTTTCAGTTGACTCCAGCTGGCTTGGGTTCCCTATTTGAGATAGCAGCTGTACCCTCTGCAGGTCCAATTATATAATAAATCACACCTATGTAGGACCTTCCTTCCATTAAGTGCTTTCATCCATATTATCCACTTAGATCTATTGACAATGCTCCAGTGATATAGTCACTTATTGTATTAGGACACCAGTCTTAGAAAGGTAATGTGACTTGCAAAAAAAATCAGCTGGCTAGAAATAGCAGCAGAAAGCTGAGCACTGGTGGCTCATACTTTGTAATCCTAGCTGCTCAGGAGGCTGAGATCTTGAGGATCCAGGTTCAAAGCCAGCCTGGGCAGGAAAGGCCATAAGACTCTTATCTCCAATTAACCACCAGAAAACCGGAAGTGGCGCTATGGCTCGAAGTGGTATAATAAGCAGAAAAGCTCAGGGGGTGTCCCATGACTCACCACCCCCCCAAAAAGTAGTGGAACCAATCTGATGATATGCTATTCCTGGTGTCCTCCAGCAAATGATGCCCCTCCATCTGCTGGAGTCTAGTCCCTAGAGAGTTTTGTATTGTTGTTGTTTTTGTACCAGTCCTGGGCCTTGAACTCAGGGCCTGAGCACTGTTTCTGAACTTTTTTTTGCCAGTTGAGCCACTGCTCCACTTCCAGCTTTTTGGTGGCTAATTTTGGGTAAGTCTCACAGACTTTCCTGCCTAGGCTGGCTTTGAACCTCAATCCTGAGATCTCAGCCTCCTGAGTAGCTGGGATTACAGGCATAATGCCACCTGTACCTGGGTTCTTGCTTCTGTTATACATATTCTGAAATGGGTCACAGACATGGAGCGGAGGAATTTGTCCTAGTTTGATGGACATGGGTGCTGGCTTTGGACAAGACACATGATCTCACCCCCACCCGGGGATGCTTGGAATGTACTAGATCCCCCCTCCCCCTTTCTTCCCTAGGGGAAGCCAAGAGATGGCTGCTAAGGGAGGGAGAAGTGGGTAATATTAGGATGTTTACATTATTATCCTTTTGACTCAGGCTGGAGGTGGAGGGATTATGTAACTGAATTGCCGGACTCTGAGGCCAAGCTTTATTTCTATCATCTGAGTAACTACCTGTGGGGTTTGAATGATAGACTAGAAGTACAAACAGACTTAACTTCAGTTCTCCTCTTCTGGGCCAGGACAGTCTCTGAAGTCATGAATCTTGGTTCTAGCACTCACTAACTTTGTAATTTTGGCAACTTATTTAATGAAAGTTAAGCCTCAGTTTCTTCATCTTCAAAATGAGAATAGTAGCTAGATGCTGGTGGCTCATGCCTATAATCCTAGTGACTCGGGAGGCTGAGATCTGAGGATCACAGTTTTGAAACCAGCCCAGGCCGTGAGACTCTTGTCTTCACTGAAACACCAAAAAATAAAACCAGAAATGCATCTGTGGCTCAAGTGATAGAATACTAGCCTTGAACAAAAGAAGTTCAGGGACAGCAGCCAGTCCTTGTGTTCAAGCTCCAAAACTAGCACACACAAAAACTGGGGATACTAACTCCTTCATAGACATGGTTTTAACCTGAAAGGTCCCAGGTTCAATCCCTAGCACCAATCAAATAAATAAGATTAAGCGAAGCATCTTTGTAAAGCAGCTCAGAGTACTTGGCTCATAGTAGCCTTTGATGTTTGCTACTTATTAGTGCCAATTATTAAGGCTATGAATAAATAGAAATAACAATACAGTCAGAGAGCAGGGCTAGATAGACCCAAGAGCCTGTCAGATGTGTTACCTTACATATGTGAACCTTTACTGTTCCAAATGGGAAGAATCAGAAATCAAAGTGGCTTCTGTTTAGTTTTGCTGCTTTCTAGTTAAACCTAAGTTCTCTAACTCCTGATCACTGTGCACAGGTGATTTTCCAGGATATTCCTGGCAGCTTCCTCCATGCCTTGATAGGTTTGGGGTGACTTTTTATCCCCCCATCCCAGGTGATGCATGCCATGCATAGAAAAAGCTGGGCAAAAAACTATGTGTTCTGGGCATGACCTACCTTTATCCTGCAGTGAGCTGGGTCTTGGGGAGGGAGAGGTACAAGGCAGTACTATGGTAAGGACAGAGATGCAGCACTACTCAGCCTGACTTCTGTGCACTGCTGAGTGGCTCCTTGAGCATCCCTGCTGCCCTGTCAAGAGAAGGATTCTCCCTGAGGCATCAGGTGCACAATTTCCTTCTCAAAGAAAGTGCAGTTAGAGGACCATACAGTTCTCAGTGCCTTTGTCAGCAGCTAGTGGCTTCATGTCCCCAAGCTGACAGGCTGTCCCTGCCCCTGGCTGGGTAGGTTGGCAGCCTGCTGAGCCCAGAGTCAGACAATCCCCATCAGTGCTTCTGCACTGCTGTGTGACCTTGAGAAGCCACTTCACCTTTTTGTAGAATAGGGCTCCCATAAACATCAAAGGATCTCTGGAGTCCAGAGAAAGGAAGGGATATGAATGTGTTTCTTCAGCAGTTTTTCTAAAAGCTTCAAGGAAATGCTTTGTTAGAAGAAGCAGTTGCCACTTAAGAAGAGCCAAGGGATTGTTTGTGACATTCTTTTACTGTGGCAGGGCAGCTGGGCAGGAAGATGCTATCTTGGTTTTGTTTGCTTTGTCCTGTGATGAAGGAGGCCTGAAAGCTCCACATTCAGAGGCAAAGGCTATAGTGAGGCTCCCAGGTTGGGCCCTGTACTCAGAGGGAGCTGCGAGTTAAATGAAAGAAACTTGAGAAAAATGACTCCTGGCAAGGGAACAGGGCCTATTAATAGGCTAAGCAGCAGTAGGGAGGGACTGGCCGCTGGAAGCATTGATGGGCAAGGCTTGATTTATTTCTGGGTTAGAATGTTGAGGGGCCTCACTGGAGGGAGTGATACTGAATCCCCTCAACTCAACCCACCGCCCTGGGGCCCCAGCACTCTTAAGTGGCTTAAACAGATTGTCTTAACACACATGTAATAAATCAGCCACACATGGAATAGATCTAAACTGAGACCTTCAAGTCCATCCTCATTTTTTCCCTGCCTGGAGCAGGACTCTGGGACCAGAGAACCAGAGGAAGTAGTAAGTGGGAGGACAACAAAGGAAGGATGAATGCGAGGGAGCATTCAGAGGGCCATTTTCAGAATGCTCTTAAAGGAGAAAGCTAGAGGAAAGGTAGAAATCATGAGCAGAGATCGAAAGACTGAGGGTATAGAAAATGGAGTTTGGCTTAAATAGGTAGAACAGTGCAGAGAGAGACATAGACAAAGATGCCAAATCATTTACCCTCCTCTCCTTTGTTTTTTGGTCTTATAATAGCTGCCATCCAGGTTACCATGGAGAGAGGTGTCATGGACTGAGCCTACCAGTGGAGAATCGCTTGTATTCATATGACCACACCACTATCCTGGCCGTGGTAGCTGTGGTGCTGTCATCTGTCTGTCTGCTTGTCATCGTGGGACTTCTTATGTTTAGGTGAGTTTTGGGGAACCCATCATAGTCTGGGTCTGCCAATCTCTCCCTTTCTACTTCATCTTGGGATTCCCCAACTGTTGAACGCATGAACCCCATTCTCATGCCTCTAAATCCTGAGCTAGATACCGGGTGCAGATTCTCTAAAAATCTACTTTGTCGGGCATGGCATGAGGCCAGCTAGTGTTTTAGAGCCCAGGACATACATAACAGACTCTGTTTCCTCACAAGGGTTTGTTTCCTGTTTCGGGGGCCCAGGGACTCACCCATAAAGCCACCGTTTCACACATTTCTTTCTCTTGGCTCTGTTCTTCAGTGCATTCGTGTGTTATTTGGTAGTGAAGATCTGAATGATACTTTTGATATATATACTTTGAATTCTGAGATATCTGAATCAGGCTAAACGTCCAGTCTGGGTATATTGTAGGTTGGGGAGACCTGAAATATGTGTTTTCAAGTGGTACAACTCATCCATTGTGAGACCTAGAGCAAGGTACCTGTTTTTTTTCTGAGAACAGTAATCTTTCAGTTTTTATACTATTCACCTACCTCATGAGGATATTGTAAGGATCAAATAAATGTAGGTAAAATGTAACCTGCTGGTAGATACAGGCATCCCTCAGTTGGCCTTTGTCCAGAGATCTATGGGACTGCCATACTCTCTGGAGTTTTCCAAGTAACGGAAAGAACCAGCAAGGCAGAGTTCTTAGGAAGGACCTGCTCTGAGACTTGCACATTCTCGTTCTTACAGTAGGCAGCTCTTGCTCACAAACCTTACTTTTCTTAGGTACCACAGGAGAGGAGGTTATGATGTGGAAAATGAAGAGAAAGTGAAGTTGGGCATGACTAATTCCCATTGAAAGAGACCGATGCTCAAGGTAATAGCACATCCTTTGCCCCTAGCAGCATCAAGAGCCAGGGTATAGGTAGTCTCCTGGTCTATTTCAGTGAGTACTGAATTTTTCTCTTGACTAAGGGCTGGGGTATAGGCTAGGGGATTGGGAAGAGAGGTTACAGTGCACAATTATTTTTAAAAAGAACACTGGTGAATTATCATCAGGGTGTACGTTGTTAGATACCCATCCCCCCACCCCTACCCCCTGCAAAAAACCCAAATACTTAGAAGGTCAGCTTCTCCTTACCTCAGCCCCTTTCACTCCCTGACTCCCCCTTTTGTGTACAGGTGTTAGAACTCAGGGCCTAGCACCTGCTAGGAAAGCACTCTTATCACTTGAGCCGTGCCTCAGCCCTTTTTGCTTTTTCAGGTAGGGTCTGAAGCTTTTGTTTGTGGCTGTTTCAGGCAGAGATTTTCCCATTTATGAATCCTGTGTAGCTAGGATTACAGGCATGAGACATAGTATTTGACTGCTCTTTTCATTTGTTTTCTTTTGGGGGAGCAGACTGAGGTTTAAACTCAGGGCACAGTCTACCACTTGACCATACTCCCAACCTACTCTTTCCATTTCTTAAAACTGGACCATGGAGACTTTCTGAGACTTCTTTAGACTGGACCCAGCTTCCCCCTTTCCCCACAGTATTGGAGATAGAACCCAGGGCTTCATGCATGCTAGGCTAGTGCTTTAATACTCAAGCCACACCCTTAACCCTTGACCTAACTTTAAATGTCTTTCTCTTGTGCTGTAGGAATCTGCAGGGATGGCCTCCTCTGAGAAGACACTAGTTGATTGCAGGTCTGCAGAGGGAAAAACTTTCCAATAGTCACAAGACTTTATCAACCCTAGCTTTGGTATCTCGTTTGGGCCTCCCATAATTGCTTTGCGAAAATACCAGAGCCTACAAGTGCCAAACTATATGTTCAGTGGGATGGAGATCAGAAGAAAACAAAAATCAGGACCTTCAGGCCCTTCTGATTCCCCGCCACCAAACCCACTTCTCCCATCAGTTTATTTAAACACTTGTCTTCTGGACTAAAATACCAGCTAAATTCCATATGCTCCAGGATCTTTCAAGAGAAAAAGAAAAACAAAAGAGGAAGAAAGAAAGACTGTGGCCTATGGAAGAAAGCAACAAAGTTGAGAAGCCATGTACTCAAGTACTCACCAAGGGATCTACTATTTGGACCCTCCAGTGCTGGACGAGCTAACTGTGAAATACCACAAACCTGAGAACTCGAGATTTTGAGACTTCTACCCAGAGGGGAGAGAAAAAAAAAACAACTATTTTTTGTTGTTGTTCGTTTGTTTGTAAAATGCCTTTTAAATTATATATTTATTTTATTCTATGTATGTTAATTTATTTAGTTTTTAACAATCTAACAATAATATTTCAAGTGCCTAGACTGTTACTTTCGCAATGTCATGGCCCTCCTTGCATCCCCACCATCTGGCTCAGTGCAACACACTGTCACAAATCTGAGATGGCTCTGTGACCTATATGTGGCAGTTCATTGTTTGTCTACATTTCTAAAGATACCCCAGGAGCAGAGTGCCCCCAGGGAACTGCGTATGGTCAGGATGCAGGAGTTGACTTGGTCAGACCCACTCTATGAGTTGGATTGCCTAGGCGATTTTGTCTACTGTTTGTGTTTTGAAAGCCCAAGGTGCTGATGTCAATGTGTACCTGATATCGGTGTTTCCCTGTGTCCTCTACCCACCAAATCTCAGAAGAGATTGGTTATCCATACCTATGGCTGTCCTAGCCTCTTACCCCTACAAACCCAGGCCCACAGAGTGGAAACCCGCTCTCCCTTGTGTCAAGACATTTCTCTTACTCCTGCCATTCTTCTGGTGCTACTCCATGCAGGGGTCAATGCAGCAGAGGACAGTCTGGAGAAGGTGTTAGCAAGGAAAAAGACTGAGGAGGAACAGGAAACGTTAGCATCGACCTGTTCTTGAAAAATTGATTAACTTGTTATTCTCTATAGAAGAGCTGTTTGGAGTTGGTGAAAGTTTTGGGTAGCGTCACCCATCTTACGAAAACTACAAACATTTGCTGTTATGGTCCCTTCTGGAAGTTTCTGGTGCCATATCTGAACTGTTACAACCTGTATTTCCAAACCCGGTTCATATTTATATTTTGCAATCCAAATAAAGATAACCCTTATACCACAGTCTGCTTGTTTTAACTGGGCACTTGTTACTATTGTTTTTGGTGATTACTGGTTTGAATTCAAGGCATCACTTGCTAGGTAGCTACTCTACTACTTGATGTCCCCAACCTTTTTGCTTTAGTTATTTTTCAGTTAGAGTCCTATGTTTTACTTTCTCAGGGCTGGCCTGAATCTTGATTCTCCTACTTACATCTCCCAGGTAGCTGGCATGACAGATACATTCCACTATGCTCAGCTTTTTATTGGTTGTGATGGATTCTCATTAGCTTTTTGTTTGGGCAGTCCTGAATCCCAGTCCTGTAGGTTTCTACCTCCCAAGTAAAAAGATTTTTCCAAAATTAAGGGCACTTTTTTGCACTCCACACAGTGCTATTAAGGACCAATGCCTGACTTTAGTAATCAGTTAAGATGTCGAAAATAACTGGTGTACTGAGTTTCTTTGAACTCTGTGGGTTCCCTTTCCTGCTTCCAAGTTTCTAGTCTCAAGCCCTTAGGCTGGATTGGACTTTTCTGAGCATACTTTGTTTCTCCAGCTGAGGTTTCCTGCAGGTTCAGGGTTTCCTGTCTTTCAGCTGCTCTCTCCTGCTGCCTCTGTTACTAATGGAGTTCCTCTCAGAAGTCCTCTAGGCTGCTGTACTATTTCAATAATGAGGATTGAACTCAGATCCCTTTGTATGCTAGGCAGGTGTTCTGCCAATTGAGCTATGCCTCCAAGTCCTTAGGCTTTTGCTAGGTTGATAGAGTGGCTCTGAGAACTTCTGAATCTTCATCTATTACTTTTTTCTCATTTTTTCTTTTTTTATTTCTTTCTTTCTTTTTTTTTTTTTTGCAAATCCTACGGCTTGAACTCAGGGCCTGGGCACTATCCCTGAGCTTCTTTTGATCAAGACTAGCACATCTGAGCCATAGCACCACTTCTGGCTCTTTCTGTTTATGTGATACTGGGGAATCAAATCCAGGGCTTCATGCATGCTAGGCAAGTACTCTACCACTAAGCCACATTCTCAGCCCTATCCACTTCTTTAAAAAAATTTAAAAATAAAGTAGTACAAAGGGACTTTTAACATGTCAGTTTATGAGTACAATGAATCGATTGCTTCTGCACCCACTTTTTTTCTTTTTTGGTTCAAGTCCAACACTCAAACTTGGTACCTAACACTTTCCCTCATTAACTAGTGCTCTATCAACTGAGACATGCCTCCAACCCCTGCATCCACTTAAGATTGCTCATCAGAAGTTGGCCCTCTGAGCACTGAGAAACATCTACCTTTTCTTTCTTTTTCTTTTTGTCAGTTGTAGGGCTTGAACTCTAGGCTTGGGCGCTGTCCCTGCGCTCTTCAGCTCAAGGCGAGCACTCTACCGCTTGAGCCACAGCGCCACTTCTGGTTTTCTAGTGGTTTACCTGAGATGAGTCACACGAAGTTTCCTGCCCAGGCTGGCTTTGAACCACGATCCTCAGATCTCAGCCTCCTGAGTAGCTAGGATTAACAGGAGTGAGCCACCGGCGCCCGGCCATCTACCTTTTCTTGACAGGCCCTCTTTTAGCTTTCTATATTTTAATTTTTTGTACTTAATATAATCATCAATAGGCTTATAAACATTTAGCACTCACTGAATGCTTACTACATATGAACACTGGCTACATGCTTTATAGGAACTATCTCACAACTTACAACAATCTGGACGGTAGGTGCTTATTATTAAAAGAAAAAAGACAAGATGTGTATTGGCAAAACCTGACTCCCAAGCCTGCACTCTAACCACTAAGTTACACTCTTAAGTTCTACAGCCTGGACTGGTTTTTCTCTTCTTCTAGAGATAAGAAAATGAAGAAATCATATGTAAAAAGAGAACAACTCCTTATCAGAGTTCCTTCTGCCTCCAGTTCACAAATTCATGAAAGGTGGTCCAATGTGCCTTATTAGGGTATAGTAGAGGAGAAAAAGGACAAGCTAACTAAAATTTTGGTCTAAGTCCATGCTTCACTGTTTGTTAGGGCAGTGCCTTCATGTATGATACTTAGTCTCTGAACCTGTCTGTAAAATAGAGATACTTATATGAGCTAGCGGCTGGGAATGTGGCTTAGTGGTAGAGTGCTTGCCTAGCATGCATAAAGCCCTGAGTTCAATTCTTCAGTTCCATATAAGCAGAGAAGGCCAGAAGTGGCACTGTGGCTCAAGTGCTAACCTTGAACAAAAGCCTATGGATGGTGCCCAGGCCTTGACTTCAAGCCCCGGGACTGGCAATAAAAAAAAAAGGACTGGAGCTAGGGAGTAGCTCAAATGGCAGAATGCCTGCATTGCCAGTACTGAGCCCCTGAGTTCAAACCCCAGTACCACCAAAAGATTGAGGGTATGGATGGGTTTGGGAAAGATGAGAGAAAATATTGAAAGGGGTTATATTGATCAAGTGCATTGTACTCATAATCTGACTTGTTATATTGTATTGAAACCTCTTTGTACAACTACTTAAAACAAACAAAAAAATCCAGCATCTCTGGATCATGCCTAAAATCCTAACTACTGAGGAGGCTGAGATCTGAGGATGTAGTTCAAAGCCAACCTCCAGGCAAGAAGGGCTCTTCTCTCCAATTAACCACCAAAAAAAATGAAACTAAAACAAAAGCAAACCTGGAAGTGAATGTCTCACTCAAGTGATAGTCTTGAGCAAAAAAAACTCAGGAATAGCACCCAAGCATCAAGCCCTAATTTCAAGCCTCAGGACTAGCACCAAAAAAAAGAAAGAAAGAAAAAAGAAAAAAGATATCTATTTATCCTGAAGGTAAGCTACACTTTTGCATAATATGCAGAAGGCCCTGAATTTGATGTGTACTGAAATAAATTACATATACATATATATTTCTATATCTATCTTAAAGAGTTGCAAAGTAGTTGACAATAATACAGTGAAATCTCTTGATCTGTTGAAATCATTAGAGAAGGAGTAGAGGGATAAGGGAGAGGCATAGGGGGTGAGTTTGATATAGATATGTATATTTGTACAGAAGTTCACAGTGATACCCTCTTGTGCAACTATTAATACATTTCTTTTTTTGGGGGGGGGGGGTCCAGTCGTGGGGCCTGAACTCTGGGCCTGGGCGCTGTCCCTCAGCTCTTCAGCTCAAGGCTAGTGCTCTACCACTTGAGCCACAGCGCCACTTCCAGCTTTTTTTTCTTTTTGTTTATGGGGTGCTGAGGAATCAAACCCAGGGCCTCATGCATGCAAGGCAAGTGCTCTACCACTGAGCCATCTTCCCAGCCCCATGAATACATTTCTTTTTGGACAATGTCACCCCTTCCCTCACTCTCTCCCAGTTATGCTAATAACTATCATTAAAAAAAAAAAGAAAAAAAACAAATTGCTTATCTGAGTGCTGAAGTTCAGTTTTCATAACTGCAGGAGTCAATAAGCAAATGTTTCCTTTTTATATCTGAAAGAAATAGCAAAAAAAAATATATAAGGTTCATTTTATGTTCTACAAGATAGTGATCTCTTTATCTTTATTTCTTTTTTTCATTCTTTTTTTTTTTTTTTGGGTCCGGCATGGGGCCTGAACTCTGGGCCTGGGCGCTGTCCCTCAGCTCTTCAGCTCAAGGCTAGCGCTCTACCACTTGAGCCACAGAGCCACTTCCCGTTTTTTTCTTTTTGCTTATGTGCTGCTGAGGAATCAAACCCAGGGCCTCATGCATGCAAGGCAAGCGCTCTACCACTGAGCCACCTTCCCAGCCCTCTTTTTCATTTTTGAGACAAGATCTCATTTTGTAGCTCAGGCTGGCCTGGAACTCATGATGCTCCTCTCTGAGACTCTGATATGCTGTTAATGCAGGTATGTGCCATCATACCTGGCTCATCTATTAATAATACTAGAAGCCAGCTTGGTTACATAGTGAATCCACTAAAAAAAGAAAGAAAGAAAGAAAGAAAGAAAGAAAGAAAGAAAGAAAGAAAGAAAGAAAGAAAGAAAGAAAGAAAGAAAGAAAGAAAGAAAGAAAGAAAGAAAGATTTCTATTACACTTTTTTTTTTTTTTTTGCCAGCTCAACTCTGGGCCTGGGCTCTGTCCCTGAGTTTTTTTGTGCTCAAGGCTAGCACTCTAGCATGTGAGCTATAGTTCCACTCCTGGTTTTCTTTGTAGTTTTAGTGGAGATAAGAGTGTCACTGACTTTCCTGCCCACACTAGCTTCCTCAGATCCTCAGATTTCAGCCTACTGAGTAGTTAGGTTTATAGAGGTGAACCTCCAGTACCCAGCATGTTATACATTTAAACAATTTATTTTTTAAATATTTAAATTATTTTAGCCATAAAATGCTCCTAAAGTTCATAGTTCCAAATCTAAATAATTATACTTACATTATTTAATTTTTTGCTCTTAGATACTTTAGTAACTATATATTGTATTATGTATTATATACACAGTTTTTTCCTTAGAAAATTACTTTCAGTATTTTTTTGAGGGGGGTGTGGTTCGGTTGTAGGGCTTGAACTCTGGGCCTGGGCACGGTCCTTGAGTTCTTCAGCTCAAGGCATGCTCTTTACCACTTGAGCCATAGAGCCATTTCCAGTTTTCTAGTCGTTAATTGGAGATAAGAGTCTCATGAACCTTTCTGCCTAGGCTGGCTTTGAACCATGATCCTCAGATCGCAGCCTCCTGAGTAGCTAGGATACAGGTATGTAATACTGGTGCCCAGCTCAGTATTTTTTTTTAATAGAGAATTCCCTCAAATAATGGCATAAATAACCTGGTTACTCTATCATATCATTCTGAAGCCACTGTTTTGGATTTCTCATGAGTAGAAGCAGCATCATTGGTCTATTAATAATCATTTGGATAAAATGGTAGTATTTCCTCCCAGAACTTAAATGACCTATCCAAGGAGCAAATTAATGGCATGTCTAGGATTGAAAACTAGGCCTTTGCATTCTTTCTTTAGAAACAAACATTGCTTTTTAAGCACTGTTTCATATTTAACCTCAACTGCAATTTCAAAGGAGCCCTAAAGA